TTCTGTTTTTACCAAGCATACTACTACTAGTACTCAAAGAAAGACTGGTAATTAATGCTTTTATGAACACATTTGCTAATTAAAGTGCAATATCTCTTTATCTGAACAATTTCCTAGGTAGAAGAGAAATAAGCATTTTCTGAGATCAGCAAAAATCATGAATAAATATTAGGGCATATGATGTCAATAATCCTCCTAAAACATGGGAAAATGCAATGTCTATATGGAAAAGGCACAATACCAGCTTTATGTCTAGGAACGAGAAAAAAATAAACACTTCAACATGGATTATATTTTCCTGGAAAAGGTAAATGCATCTTTTCACTTTCTCTTTAACTCAGAAGGAGATGTTAAAAATCCACCTTTCTACAGATTTCCTTCTCCTATTTTTGTTGGTTCAAACTGTGACTACCTTCCAAAGTTATTGAGCCATGTATCAAAAACAGCCAGTAACAGCTAGTATGAACATGCTTTCCTTGAATATATTTTACACTGCCTCTGAGTGTATTCACTTGAACTTATATTTCTCACAGTTCTCACCGCTCCTTCAATAAAAACACTAAACAGGGTCCCTCATTCGTGCTTACACACCACTCAATTGCCACATTCTCCACAGATTCTATTCCTCACCAAGCATATCCAAGTATTATACAGTTTAAAGCCCTAGAAAGCATCACACCGATATGCTGTAATGACCATAAGGCACCACTATATCACCACATCTGTCTTTATGAAATATCCATATTACGATTAGCTTATGAAGCTTTCAATACTAATGCTGACCAACCCGCCCGCACACCCCACAAAGACTCCCAAAACAAACCCTCGACTACTGCCAGTGCTTTATCAGCAAACTCTAAATGCTTCTTGCTGCTTGAAGGTGAACAGCTATACTTTGGCATTTACTTGCTGTCTCTTCTTAGTAAAAATAAAAATGATATTTTAGAGCTCCTTCTAATCCCTATGATTCATATGTCAGAGTCCCTACATTCATCATTTCAAGCAAGATTTTTTTATTCATTTCCGGGCCTAATGGTGAACCACGTTCCAGGCAAATTGCGTTCTTTTTATTCCTAATGTGCTTATCAGTGTTAGTAAAGAATGCATATGACAACCTTCATGCAATTACTATTGTTGACTGGCAAGATGTCTATATAAACGATCTTCTTCACTCCTCCAAAACATTTTAAAATCATAGAGAAAACAAGAGCAAGCTCTTTTTTTGTTCATCAAAATGCATAATCACATAGAAAGAACAAACTCTCCTGCCTATTTTTCTCCTTGGAACCTTTAAAGTTTCAAATCAAGGCGACAATATATATCTGATGAATAACATTATCATGATTACGCTGCAGGCATACAGGGGGTCCTGCATTACTGCCATCTAGTCAGCCATCAATCACTGTTTTAAACATGTGCCTTCTGAAAACTGAGTGCCCATGACTGTGCTCACCAGCATTAATCATAGAAAATGACTTAGATCCATAGACAGGGGTAACTAAAATCTTGGCATTGAAAAGCCAAAATTCCCAAGAACCACACAGGAAACTCCTTCAGCGTCATCTTCAAGCCCAGCTTTAGTTGCCTAGACTAGAGATAGTTCAGGCTCTGCTAGAGGACCCATTTTTAGAACAATGCAATTTTTGAAACACAACCTCTGATGTGCTTTTCACACTCAAGATTATAATGTGAATAGGCCTAAACAGATTATATTGTTCACATTAAAAAGGTCCATTCTCAGGGACAGGAAGCTATTACTTAAGCAATGATGGTTTACTCCATAGCATTGCTTATATGCTTAAGCAGTCAAGACTAAAGCAATATAACAGTTTCCAGCAGAATTACCATTAACAGTGACCAGCGTAGGATCTAAATCACAACCTAGCAAACCTGTTTTCAGCCACTAGTGAACTAGTGTACATAGGTACATTTGTCTGTTTTCTGCAAAGCTAGCCATGAAAATTCATCTATTTGTTGCATCCAGTCTGAGCCTACTTGCAAGATTGTGGGCGACTCAGCTTGAGGTGAACCATCACTACAAAGACCATCTGCTACAGCACATCGTACATTCTCTCTGTTCAAAGACCTAATTGTACTTGCCCTCACAAGCGCTAGCTGGATGAGGTAATGCAGCGAGACTCTGTAAAGGCTAGGGTCTTGAACAAAAAACACTTTTGGCTGAAATTGTAATAGGCATACAGTATACTGCTACAAAGGCCCCAGAAGGCAGTGAGCTAGTGTCAGGATGAGTCAGCATAGAATTATGCTGAAAAAGCCACGTGTAGTAGTTATTTGACTCAAATAAAATTAGAAAAAAAAAAAAGCTGGGCATGGAGGTTGTAAATATCTGTTCTGCAACAGTGAACAATGCAGATCTTGGTGTAAAATACGGTTTGAATGCAATGAAGCCATTAGCTCATCAGACCCGACAAGCTACAGTACAGAATAGTTCTGGCGTATCTGGTATTTAGTCCTGCTTGTCACAACATAGTAAAATACACCACAGATGTTCACTGATGAGCACAACAGGTTGCAGGTCTGCAGGCTGCACAAGTAAAAGTCAGAGAAGTCAGCTCCCAATGCTGTACTTCCACTGATTCTTTTATGCTGAATCCCATCTGGAATTAGCCAAGGATGCATTTTTCCGCCTCCAGTAATTGTTTAATTCTATGTACAATAAGCTACATCATTTCTGTTAAAGACTTTGTAATATACTAAGATGTTCACCATAGTTATTTGCATTAAAAGAGGTATAATTTTATATAGTTCTTTATCAAAAGAGCTCAGATGAGTACCATTAACATCATTAATGCTAAACAGCTAGGAAAAACCTCTCAGCACCAAGCAATGAGGTGTAGAACCAGGAGAGGTGCTAACAGCTTTGGTTTTACCCCCTTGTTTTCAAAGATTCTTATCTTGGCATATATGATATGTTGGAGCTCAGTCAAGGATTGATTTTTTTTTCAAAATCCACTTCAGCTCCTGCTTGTAGGTGACTGGAATGCTACTATCCCAATTAGTCTGCAATTCAACATTTCTAGAGAATTTACCCCGTAGATAAATTTGCTGCATAAAGTCAATCTGACACACTCCTAAATCTGGATACAAATACGAATAGTAATTAGCACACACGTACGGCTTTGTATTCTTTTTCATTAAACAGCTTGCAAACTCATTTTAAACATATTATAATCCGGTAAAGATGAATAAATGATTTACTTTTTAAAGATTCAAGAAAGAAATTAAACAAAAATGGTGTGTTTGAATTCAAGCAGCTTGCTCACAAAAACAAATGTACAAATATCAGCATCAAGCAACTTATTTGCTCTCTATGAATATATGAAATATAAGCAATATAATTCATCAATTTTTCAAAATGCCACAAGGTGAAATAATCTTGTTAGCATTATTTTTCTTTGTATTTTTCTGAAGCACAACAATGCATACAGCCTATAAAGAATTACCTGCCTTGGCAATGTTTCTCTGTGTGGATATTTTACTTGTAAAAACATTTAAGGAATGACTCATTAGATGGGATAATATAATCACTTCATCCTATTCATTAAAATCACAACATTTTCTGAAAAGGTTAAATTCAGATACCATTCCCCAGGCTGATTTTGCTAATGTAGTCATCCTAAAATAGATAAGGTCAGTAATTCTGCTTTAACAAGTGACTGCTCTTTCAACTAGCTTTTCACTTGCGGTTTTTAAAAGCAATACTATGAAATAAAAGTAGAAAAAAAAATAAAAATACCTAATAAAAATGCTATCCTGTAAGACCCTATTCCTACAGACAATTTGTGGACAACCTTATTTTCTACAAGTAGTTTAAAGAACTCTTAGAAATCTTTTCTAAGTGCTTTCAGGAACATGACTTCACTGTGGGAGACCTACCCATTTTGCTTCTCCCCACAAAGAAACAATTGCAAAGTTCCAGTTTTTATGGGACATGATCCTGGACATATGCCTGGGTATAATACATGCTTTTATGCATAGACCCACAGAGGTATATATGTGAGCATATAGACATATATATGGATTTTTTAACTGGAGAGCATCTGCTCTTGATTTGATCATTTTCATCTGGATGCTTTTGTGAGTAATAACAGTACTATAAGCTGTTATTAAATACATTTTCATTATTATCTATCTATCAAATTTACTGCTTGCTGTTCTGGACAGTAAAAATTTCCACAAATACTTTCTATGTAAGAATTACCTTTTCCATTACAAAAATTGCAACTGTTACCAGAGTATGGCAAAAGTAGGTCCAACAATGGAATCTGCTTCAAAGGAACTCATTACCCACTGGTAGAACAAAAAGATACATATTCACATATAAATGCATAAATTGCTATAAAAGTATGTAAATGAATAAATATATCATACTAGTTAATTAATAAATGGACAGATTTTTGTGCATATATAATACTGACTTGGATTAGCTATAAAGTTTACAGCTGTCTGGCAAATTACCATATTTATCTCAGTCTTAGCTTCTTGGGCACAAGCAGCCAGCTACAAAAGCAGATCACAAATGCTGTAATAAAGGTCTACAGCCGCAATTCAGTATCATTTGCAGAGTGCATCAATGATTTCCCTTTTGCGCTGCTCCTCTGGCAGTTCTTATCTTCATGTACTGGCCTATACGCCAAACTAATACTTGCTATGAAAACAGGCTAAAAACCAGATCTGAAATGCAGAAACTCTGCAGTAAAAATACTGCCATCTTCAGATAGTTCACTTTTTGTAGTAAATTAAGTATTCCCTTAACCTTGTTTACAGGACAAAAACATCTCTGTGTAAGCCCACTCCAATGTGAGAGAAACATCAAAAATTCTATAATTAAAGTATTCAAAGGATAGTCAATGCCTTTGCCAGAGCAGATGACTGAATTCCCCATAGCACTCATGTTAAAAGTGTTTTCCATTTGAGCATCCCCTTACATAAGGTTGAGTGGAAACTTCAAATAGTATGAAATTCACTTTGACTCTTACCAGAAAAGACACTGGGGATCTTGGAAAGAAAACTTTTGACTGTACGAATAGGAATCCCATTTTTCTCATCTTGCATGCGGGCTATGACGTCTTCCATCTGAACACAAAGGAAAAAAAATAAAAGAAAGAAAGAATAAAGAAATCCAGAATTATTTCCTAAAATAAATTCCCCAAGAAATCCTAGCTCAATCTCTCAGAATGACAGGTCCACTCTTGAAATCTTTTTTTTAACATATAGTTCTATATTTTTATTGAATAGACTGAAAAACTGCAAGTATTTATTAGTGGACAACAGTAAAAAAATGTATGTGCTCAATGTATGTGCTCAATGTGTTTTGAGAAAGAAATTCCAAGGCAGAACAAAGAGATGTAGTTAAAAGTAGTTAAAAGAAGTAGTTAAAAACCATTGCTCGATATAGAACTTCATGTTTTGATTGTATTGCTGGTGTTGTACCACATATAAAAGCAAAATAGACTCATACAGCCTTCTATGAGACTGATACAGTTCTCAAAAAGGCTGTTCAAAACAAAAATAGGGCTTTTAAGTTCAAAGCAAAAATTCCTTCTTTTCTTTTGACAAGAGAAGAAAAATACAACACAATGTAATTTTGCATCCCAGGAGACAGCAAAGCCAGAAACATAAGATTTTTTGTAGGTTTGGTTTTTTTTGGTTTTTTTTCATGTCTATCTCACCTCTGTCTGCTCAGTAGTTTCCAAAAGAATTCATTAAAAGTCTGTAGCTAGGTTTTGAAGAGACTAACAGACAAAATTCTGTTATACACCTGTTATCCACAGAAGTCAGATGACCCAAATCAGCAAAGACCAAATCAGTATTAGTTACAGCTGTGCATTACTTGGTGGAATGGGGGAGTTGCACACAGCCAGGAAAAGGAAAGGGAGCTGGGGTCACCAGTGGTGTACAGAGAGAAAAAGAACAAAAACCCACACCAAAAATGAAAACAAAATTAATTAGTTCGACTGCTCATGAGAAAATTGTTTATATAGAGGATGTCTGGAGGTTCACGTGTTCCAGGTACTTATGGATCATACATTAACAACCCAAGGGACACAAATCCAGTGGCATAGTCCAAAACAGAAAGTACACACAAGAAGTAGGCACTGTTAGCAAGGTGTGGAAGACCAGGTCTATCGCTCAGAATAAGCAATGTACAAATGTAACAGAAGAAAATAACCAATGTTCATAGTAATGAGTTTCATCTGACATGGAATTTAAATATTTAAATAGAAAAGCCTATTAATAATGTTCTGAAGAAACTGTCAAGCAGACAAACTGTTGTCCATGAAATGGAATCTGTCCCTGCATTTACTATACATACAATAAGTGAAGGCTTGTTTCAACCCCTTCTAAATTCAGCTGGTAAACTGTCTTACTGAGCCCTTAAATGAATAAGAAGTCGCTCAAATTCAAGTGAATATCCTTGCTGTAAACAACAAAGTAAATTATAACCATAGGCACATGGTCTTCTACGGAAATGAACAGAAGTAAATTTGATGATGAGTTCCATATATGCAGCATAGCGTAAGCTTGCAAAAATGTTGCTAGAACTGCAGAGTGTATAATAATGTATATTACACTGGGACAAAGTTGAGAAGACAATTCATACAAAAGCCAACATGATAAAGGTATATTTGCATTATAATAAGGATTACTACAAATGTAGGAAAAAATCATGGAACGATAATATTGCAGGTAGTAATATCCAGTTACCTCTTTCTCAGGAACGCACATGAGTGCAAACGTTTAATGCCTAGCACTTCTCGTGCTGTCAGTGACCAATCTTTTGAGGGTATATGGAATAAAATGTTAATTGACATTCATATATGCTTTCCTAAACTTGCTTCATGGACAAGATTTGATCTAAACTGTACAAAACCTAACTCTGATAGAGATTGTAGCTCTGGGGGAGTTCTCTGATTTTGATTTGCAAAGTGAGCTCTAGGATGTCTGCACTGCAAACTTACACCTTTCCCTGCACATCTAGCTCAGATTATTGGTCCCTGTCAGGAGTGAACAAACTCTCTGCAAAAGGCAGCTCACACTCCAGACAGCATCATTGTGAATGGCCTGCTTAATTCGGTGTACAAAGACGACTTTCTAATCTTGTAATTGCTCTGAAACAAGATACAACACAACAGCAGACTCCTAATTAGTTACAGCTGACCTGGGATTCTGTATGTTATCTGTTAGATAGATAAAAATTCTTATTTGTCTTGTCCTTTTTTGCGCAGAAATCTAAAATGTCACTGGTGTTTTGTGGCCATCTTAAATCTTAAATGTACGAACTCAAGAAAATGAAGGGCAAATTAAAAAAAAAGCTTCAATTAAAGATTCAAAATCACCTAATCCAACATATGCAGGTCCATAATTTAACTTTCAGTATGCGCAGTCCCTATTTCTGTTTTAGCTGCTTTAAATTCAGCAAATGCATAATCTCTTCCACTGAAAATCATCTCATTTAATTGTATTTGGGAAGCAGCACTCAAGGCACTTCTTTGTCATTCATCAACAATGACTTAAGACAATGAAAAGGGCAGAATAGTTTAATTAGTATGATGAAAGAAAATGTTCATCTGATTCTGCTCAAGAAGTCTAATCTGGGAAACATAAGCTGCTGCCTGATATAATAATTTTCGTTCCTGATGTATCATTGTTTGCTTCTGAGTCACCTGACGCGACACCCAAAAGTGAAATATAAGCTCCTTTACTTCACCTCCGAATGAGGCTTTCACAGTTCTTTTCTTATGTGCTTACCTGGCTAACCCCAACTGGCTCTGATCATGCAATGGAATCCTTTTTAGCCCTAAGCCTTCTCAAAGAACTCGGAGAAAACAAATCCACAACCAACAACTGCCTTGTGATCACTCTGCAAATGAAGCAAGTTGTACAAGCACATCTTTTGCCTTTCCAGTCATCACAATTAACAGGGAGAGCCTAGCTAGAAGGAAGTTCATAATGCATCAAGGATTATACAGGAGCATTTCTAGATAAATGTATACTTCAAAAAATGTGCCATTTGTCTGTCAGTGAGGCAGTTCTAAATCTGACAAAAGCTCACTGCCTAAGTGAGGCAACTCAGACCAAACTTACAATATTAATATTTAAAATTCTGCTTGTCTCCTTGTGAAGATAATTTGCAGCCTTCATCTCTGTGAATTCTGTTTCAAAGACTAACTCTATGACAACAGTGACAATGCATCTTATGTGAAGTAAAAAGAAAGAAGATAGTGATATCCTGTAACAGAAAGGCTACAGGATGCAGGAGCCATTGACTTATAATAACCACTGACTCTGCTCCAAACACACCGGGAGCACGCATGGAGACGTGCATGACTTACTCCAGGGGCAGAACTCATAGAGAACTAACAAGCCTACAGAGTCAGTCGTATCTGGCCATGGGGAAGAGAGATTAAAAGTTATCAAATGGGAAGTGAAGGTGATGCTTCTCAGTTGTGTGTATTGCTAAAAGTCCACTGAAGGACTATGCTTATTAGGCTTCTTTCTTCGACACAATTGTAAGAGGTTTCTGCCATATAGGGTAAGATTCACCTCTGTTATCTTTTTAATCATCAGTCACTACCCAAAAGTATCTGACTTTCTCCTTTATTGACAGTGGAAGTCTCGACAACAAACCAGCACTAGTATCTTTTAGCTACTTACAGTTAGGTGAAACGAACACAACTCTTAGGACCAGAATTTTTATGGTTCCTTAGATTTCAGTGCCATGTGCTTTGGGAGACCCTGACTTTTAAATTTCTAAATCTAAATATGAGTTTCATTGTTAATCATCCACACTTATTGGAAAAATTATACCCCTGCACCGTAATTCAGCATCACTGGTAAGAAGTGGGGGTTTTTTTAATTAATTCAAAGACAACAGAAATCAAAAGCTCAAAAATTTTGTCACTGCAGGACAAGAGTTTTTTCTTCCCTTAAAAGCAAGCCTAACAGAACTCCACATAAGGACAGTCACTAGATACAAGAATTCCAAGACTAGAAAAAGAAAGCAATGGTCTGGAACTACCTAAACTTCAAGAGATACATAGTCAAAGCTTGAAGCCTTGACCTACTGACACATTTATAGATATCTCAGTTTGATTTCTGTTACTAAAATAAATTTCAGTGCCAGGGAATTAAAAGTATACCCAGGAATACTAGAATGAAACTAATCATAACTTTGTACTCAGTTATCCTACCTCAGAACAGGGGATTGCTTTTACATTGAATGTACTGGGGTCTACCTACACTACAGCTTTGTTAATTTTGCTAAAATCTTTCTTCCTCATTTTACCCAAATGCCGAGGTGGAATAACCCAGTGGAACTAACTAAAAACATCATCCAAACTTGTTAACAAAGTACAAGTAGTTACATTATGTAATAATTCCTTATGCCACGCAACAAGTTTCCCTAGACATTTTTTTTTTCCTCTCCCTACTCGAACAGGTTACAGAGTTTGAGGTCCTTAAGGCAGCTGGCCAGAAGGCTGCAGGACACTTTCCTGAGCCAGTCCCCCCATGCAGAGACATACACTAAGCAACACGGGCTGAATAAAACCAGCAGGGTAGGAGAAAGCTGCAAGGTCCCTTATAAGGCACTGGCCATTTTTTTCCATTTTCCAACACATGTTAACTATACAGAATAGACAGATGTATTCTCATCTTGTTAGTATTACACTGATAATGAATTACCTGTAACTGCTCTTGCTTTCAACAGTACTCCTCTTGAAATTCCACAGTACCACATACGCTCTGCCTCACACACTGCCAATTGTACTATAAATCTGCTGTTGAGACCTTCACCAGCTAAAAAGCCTGCAACTGTAGGATGCAGAAACTTTGTAAGAAAGTAGTTTGCTGTAGTTCACTGTGGCAAAAAATCTGTATATTTACACAAATAGTTAAACTACCCGATCAGAATTACACTTCAGGAGCCTCAGACTCTCTGTCCTCCCATGTGAGCTGCTCTTTGCCTGGGCTACACATGCCAACAACCACTGCGATATCCTTCTTTAATTGAATCATCACAGTGCCACCTGAGAGCTGCCCCACTCAGTGAACCAGGGGACTTTGTTCAGCTA